ACACCGCAACCGGCCGACTAAGCGGCGTGAGTGTGGTGCGGTCCCGAAAGAAGGAGCGAGACGCCCCAGAGTCAAGAGTGAAGGTGAGAGAGGCCGAAGCCGACGCGGTACCTGAGAGAGCAGACTCACCAGTACCTGAGGACGCAGACACACCAGCACCTGGAGCAGCAGCGTCGTAAGCACCTAGGGCAGCAGCCTCACCAGTACCTAGAGCAACAGTCTCAATGCCCGGATCGGGCTGGAAACACCGGTAACAGTCACCCTCATCACTAATAGACACAGCATACATGGCAGAGAGAATAGCATCAAAGTCCAGATCAAAGATGGCAACCCCCGCCCTAGACAGCTCGTCCCAGCGAGGGATCTCGGAGGCCTCCGGGAACTGGTGACGCCATGCGTCCGTCAGGCGGCCAAAGCAGCGCGGAGTGGGGTGCGCACCCCCACACTGCTCACCCGCACGGTCGCCGGTGCGCAGGACGTAGGTACACGGACCAAAACCCCCACCCCGCTGGCGTGCAGTGTACCACTCACGGAGCTGCTGAGGGGACAGGGTCGCACGACCACGCTGCTGCTGCTGGCGCGAGCCACCACCGGAGCCACTCCTCTGCAAAGACCCGCGACCAGCTCCACCGCCACCCCCACCGCCTCCACCGCCTCCGCTGCCTCCACTGCCGCCGCCGCCTCCACCGCCTCCTCCACCGCCGCCTCCTCCGCCACCTCCGCTACCACCGCCACCGCCGCCGCGGCCTCCGCCTCCACTGCCGCCACCGAACCCCCCACCCCCACCTCCACCTCCACCGCTACCCCCACTCCCCCCACTGCCTCCACCTCCACCTCCACCGCCCGCTCCTCCAGCTCCCTTGCCCCCCTTGCCCTTGCCAGGGCGGCGTCTCCCGCTAGGGGCAGACGCCGCACCGACCGACTCAAGAACAAGAAGGTCGGCCGAAGCAGCAGAGGCAACAGAGGGCAGCAGGGGGGAGGGAGAACACCCCTCAAAGATGGGGGTGCGCGGGTCACCTCGAGAGGCTCCTATTGCGACTATGCTCTTTTCTATCGCGAGGAGGGCCTTCTCGAGGAGGTCTACAGTGAGTGTGGTGGGACAGACTGAGAGAAAGTGGTCCTTGACTACTCGAAGGGAGTCAGGGAGGCGAGTGACTAGGAAGTACAGAGTGATGTACATGGGGGGGGGGTTCGCGGTGCAGAAGTCAGCAGGAAGTGCAGCGCGGTAGCGAGTGTCACTAGTGCGGAGGTGCGTAATGAGGTCAGCAACGGTGGGAAAAGAAGCAAGGTCAGGGAAGAGGTACGGCAGCATGAGACGGCTCAGTGCAGCAGTGGAAGGGGAGGAGTAGCGCGCGACTACATCGGCGTACAAGGTCTGAGCACTCTTGTACTGACTAAAGTGCGCACGCTCGGAGGTAGGGAGGTGGCGACGCACAGCAAGACGTGCAGCAGCATCGCGCGTGGCCCACTGGGAGCGAACAGTGGCGTCAGCATCAGCAGCAGGGGCAGGGGAAGCGCCAGAGGTGAGGTCAAAGAGAGAGAGGCCGTCCGCCCTATCGCACTGTAAGAACAGCTGTAGGTCATCTACCCAGACCTCAAAGTCAATGGCCCGACCCTCAGCGTCAAAAGTGAGGACACTAGGGGTAGCCATGATAGCAGTAGACCAGCAGTGCAAGGAGTAGGGGAAGAGCACGCAGTGACAGAGGGTCTGTGCTCACCGGACAGGGCTGCTCGGGCGGCTCGGCTGCAGGGCGGCTCGGCCGCTGGGCGGCTCGGCGGCTGGGCGGCTCGGCGGCTCGGCGGCTCGGCAGCTGGGCGGCTCGGCGGCTGGGCGGTCGGCTGCACGGCGGCTCGACTGGTGGGCGGCCGGGCGGCTCGGCTGCAGCGCGGCTCGGCGGCGGGGCGGCTCGGCTGCTCTGCTGCTGGGCGGCTCGGCTGGGCCGCTGACGTAGGGCGGCGGGGCCGCTGTAGAGGAGTGGCGGGGCCGCTGCAGAAGGACGGCGGGGCCGCTGGGTAGTGAGGCGGCGGGGCCGCGAAGACGGGCGGCGGGGCCGCTGCAGAGAAGCGGCGGGGCCGCAGTGAAGGGCGGCGGGGCCGCAACGAGAGAGGCGGCGGGGCCGCAGCGAGAGAAGCGGCGGGGCCGCGAAGTCGGGCGGCGGGGCCGCTGAGTAGGGCGGCGGGGCCGCAGTGAGAGGCGGCGGGGCCGCAGCGAGAGAGGCGGCGGGGCCGCGAAGACGGGCGGCGGGGCCGCTGAGACGGGTGGCGGGGCCGCAGTGAGTGGCGGCGGGGCCGCAGCGAGAGATGGCGGCGGGGCCGCGAAGACGGGCGGCGGGGCCGCAACGAGAGAGGCGGCGGGGCTGCAGAAAAGGGCGGCGACGGGCCGTAGGCGGCGCGAAGCCGCAGGTAAGGGCGGCGACGGGCCGGGGCGGCTCGAAGCCGCAGGTAGAGGCGGCGCGAAGCCGCGGGAAGGGCGGCGACGGGCCTGGGCGGCGCGAAGCCGCAGGTAGGGGCGGCGCGAAGCCGCCGGTGAGGGCGGCGCAAAGCCGCGGGTAAGGGCGGCGACGGGCCGGGAAAAGGGCGGCGCGCCGCAGCCGCTAGGGCGGCTCGACGCGACCGTAAGGGCGGCGCGACGGGCCGCTAGGTGCGACTCGACGGGCCGCTAAAAAAAAAAGGCAGGCGCGACTCGAGGCGCGCTTCGGTGGGCCCAAGGAACAGTCCCTAGGAGGGGACCTGCTCTGATTCCATGTGATAATGAGAACGAGAATGAATGGACTATGAAATGAAGTGAGTACAAATATGAAACCCTAATTGGTTGTACCCCCTATGGGATACCCCACTATAGCCTACATAACAGCATAAGCTACAATGTTCTGACAATTCCCAGAAAGTAGGAGTGTTTGAGTAAAACCCAGGATGAAATGTGAAATTGTTTCAATAACCAGGTAGCCAGCACATACTTTCCGTTTTATCTCAGCTAGAGCTGAATGTTCAGCCTTTGTTTTATCTCTAAAGGATCGAAAAATATGTGGTGAGCTTACGCCAGGCAGCGAAGAAGCACTGCAGCACTAAACACGACAGACGAGTCGAAACTTCACTGTAGCTGACATGGGGACTCTGAAAAAACTTCTACATTCTCCAACAATAGTCTCCTGCCTCTTTATTTCGGTCACAGGCTCGTATCGTAATTAGGGTGATTGGGCTCGAAGGTATTCAAATGTTTAGGGTCGTGTACAGTATCCGCACGCATTAGGTCACGGTTCTGGGCGAAGTATGGACACCATCAACCCAAAATGACCCTCAATGAAGTGTAAACACACCCGATCATTGGTCATCACACAGGGTTCCACATATCTTGGAGCATGGAAACCAATGAGACGTGCACATTGCTACCAAAGTGTCCACACTTCAGATGGTGTCCAAACTTCAGAACCGTTATCTTATTCAGGTGGTTTGAACGGCACAATCGTGTCAGTTGAAGGTGCAGATGCTCTTGGTTTGGCCTGCAGATTCTTCAGCTGGTGTTCTGTACAGTAAGTCTACGTGCCACTGTACACCACCGTTAGCGGATCAGATTCTTTCAGGTGCAATGCTTCTCTCACGCACGGTTCTGTGGTGCACGTCCGGTCTGGTGATGTGGCAGGCTTGTATTCTGTGGTGGGTACAAAAGTCAACGCGAGTTGAGACTAGCTGACGCTGCAATGAAGTACAGTACAACACCCTTGAGCAGTGGTGTCCAGCAACCCTAGTCATTCTTTCGTGTTTATCTTCCGTTGTTGGAAAATGCTCTTTGCCATCAGTGCTAAATTGGGCTTCCAAGAGGCATCTGGGGTTCCCCACTCCACCCCACTAAGTGTGCAGTCTATCCGACAGTGGGGAACTCAGGGATACATGAAAGGTACCATAAACGTGAGTTGTGGAGTATGGAGGCACTGCCCGTCATATTTGTAGTCCCTGATCTGATTTGGCGCCTGGCTTGCAATATTTTCTGCCAATCAGCTGTAGCCTTTTGTTCAGGTTCGGCATTCGTCGAACTTGCCAAAGGTGGCGCATCGAGCCATTGGATTTCTGCTAAGCAGTTGAATGAACAGCTGAGATCCAACGCACGTGCTGCTCTGGCGATGTACAGTAAATGCCTTGCGCGAAGTAGTGATTGAGCCCTAGCGGCAGATGTTTGTCAGAGTCAGTGCAGTGTATTTAGTCCTCCAAAAAGGTTTGAGAATGGAATGCGAGTCTAAGGGATGGGTGGGTCTGTCTGTGTGTATATGTAACAGTAACTACAGAGTAACATTAATGTTCGTACTTTGCATGCGCCCCTGGTGGTCCTTTCGTACACGGGCTTGGGGAATGGCCGAGAGGATAAACGGGATCCCAAAATTACATGCTGAAAAAGGATGGCGAAGTCACCATCACTGTGGTGTGGGCGTAGCAGGCATGACATGTATGTCCCCCTCCTGCTCTCCCATCATGCCATACTCCATCCATCCGTATCAACTGACTGTAACAATACGTGCCACCACTATATTTGCTTTCTCAACATGCACGCTTCTTTTGCATCACAGTAGCCGCAACGGTACCGTATGTTCATACTATTCTGCATCAGCTATTTCCTTTTTAGGGGAGAGAGGGGTTGAACCACAGCGCGTCAGCATGACAGTGGCTGTAACAGTACCTGCCCTCCATTATTGCTGCGCTCCCGACACGCCATGCCATACTCCCTCTGCTGCCTCACAGTGGTCGGGATGGTATCTGCATGTTATTCCGCATCAGCTATTTCTGCTCCCCTGACACGCCATACTTCTTCTGCATCTTACCTAACTCCTCCCTCTTCCTCTGCTCACCCACCCCCGGAAGCACCACACATCCCCGACAACGTCACAGTAGCCGTACCAGCATGTCCCTCGCACTATTTCTGAGGCGCCTCAAAACTAGATTATTTCTGTTCCCCTGACACGCCATACTTCTTCTGCATCTTATCCAGCTCCTCCTCGTTCTTCTTCTGCTCACCCACCCCAAAAAGAGCCACACAGAGAAGAAGGGAGGCGGAAGAAGAGGGGGGGAACAGAAAGGGGAGCGGGGGGCAAAGGGGCAGTGATGACATGTGAATATGCATGCTGTACCGGTTGCTGGAAGTGTATTTTGAGGCGCCTCAAAATACACCTCACGAGGCGCCTCAAAATACACCTCACTGCACGAGGGGCAAAGGGGCAGTGGTGACATGTGAATATGCCTGCTGTACCGGTTGCTGGTCGAACATAGTGCGCAGAAACCGTGAAGCAGCAGTAACGGAAGTGGGATCAGATAAGCCTCTAATGAAGGAGCACATCCTAATCCCACCTCGCTCACTTCTGTTGTTCTCGACGGTCGGTTGCACCTGTGACTGCAGGACAGCAGAGCAGACCATACCTGGTCGATCTTCTTGGTGAACTTGGCCTGCTGGTAGTAGAGCACTATGAGGTAGCGGTGTTTGTGCTGAACACATCCCACTTCCAGGTGAATGCTTTCTGCTCACCCTTGAATGCACTGACCTGATCAATTTTCTTGGTGAACTTGGCCTGCTGGTAGTAGAGCACTATGAGGTACCGATTGGCCACGTTGAACCCCGACAGATGCTCCACGGCGGTCTTCGCGTCGTAAATGTCCTCGTACACCACAAAGGCCGTTCCCCGCGTCTCTTTTGTTACACCACTGGAAAATGAGATACGATTAGAGGAGCGAGACAAGGAAGAAGAGGTTGCAAGAAGGAATGATGCTCCACCACGGCGTTCTTGGCGTCGTAAATGTCCTCGTACGCCATGAACGCCGTTCCACGTGTCTCCCTGGTTACCCCACAGGCGGGAAACGCAAGGAGGAAAGAGAAGCAAGAAAGAAGAGGATGCACGAGGAATGATGCAAGGAAGAGAAGGACATGAAACACAGGGGGAGAAAGAAGGATGCTCCACGGCGTTCTTGGCGTTGTATATGTCCTCATACACCACAAAGGCTGTACCGCGTGTTTCCTTGGTCACGCCTCTGGAAGAGGAAAGGGGAATGAGACAGGGAGGAAAAGAAGAGGTTGCAACAGGATGCTCCACGGCGGTCTTGGCGCCGTAGACGTCCTCGTGCAACACGTGCACCACCATGGCCGTTCCACGCGTTTCCTTGGTCACCCCACTGTAAGCAGAATGAGACAGGGAGGAGACGGAGTGGAAACGCAGAGGGCACAAGAAGGAAGGAACGTTGCTCCACGGCGTTCTCATGCTCCTTACGTCTCCTCTGCGACTCTGCTGAAGGGACACGAGAGGATGAATGGGTCAGAAAAGGATGAGTGTGGGGATGTGTGTGGGGATGTGTGCGGGGATGTGTGTGGGGATGCATGGCAGACCGCAAGGACTCACATGCGTATTTGTCTGATGGCGCCGTATTTCCCAAAGATGTCATACATCTCCTCTGATGTGATGTTGAACGGTAGGTTGCTGTTCGGTATAGAGGGGTGGAGAGGGGATACACAGGGTTACAGAAGGGTAGAGAGAGGCAGAGAGAGGTAAGGACAAAGTAAGATGTCGTGCGTCTCCACTAGTGTGATGTTTAATGACAGGTATAGAGGGGAAATGAGTGGTACAGAGGGGTAGAGAGGGGGGCAGGGAGGGTAAGAGAGGCAGGCAGAGACAGAGAGAGACAGAGAGGGACAGAGAGGGACAAGGACTTCTAGGATGTGATGTGATGTTGCAAGGGACGGATGATGTGGGAAGAAAGTGAGACAGAGCAGAGAGGGGCAGAGAGGAGTAGAGAAGGGTGGGGAGGGAGCTGCCGCAGATTGCAAGAGTGAGGGTCGAAACGATTTTACTAAACGATTGTAGGTGTGACGCAGTCAACAAGCAGCAAGAGTGCAGCGAGAAGAAGACACACGGTTACAAGCAGAAGTGGCTAGGCAAGTATGGTATGGTGTTGTGGACCGGCCACTCAAACTCTCTCCCACACTCCCTCCCACACTCCCTCCCACGCTCCCTCCCAAACCCCTCCCACACTCCCTCCCAAACTTCCTCCCACATTCCCTAACAAGTTCCCTCCTACAACCCTCCCACACTCCCTCACACGTTCCCTCCCACACTGCATCACACGTTCCCTCGCACACACCCCTCACTACACTCACCGCACGTAGATGGCTCTGTTAACTTCGGGCGGTAATCGGACCTGCGCAGGAAGGGGGAATAGAGAAAGGGGGAGGAAATAGAGGAGAGAAAGTGGCTGAATGCGGCTGGGAGGGGTGCAAGGATTTCAACCAGTTTTGTCTTTCGCGATCCAACGCTGGGAGTCTTGAGACCATGAACCGGGCGCAGAGGTCCTAAGTGAATGACTTTAAAACGAAACAAAACTGGATTTCCAAGTGGAGACTCGTGTAACGCCAGCATGGGAAACTACACCTGTTCTCACACGCAACTATCGTAGTACCTAGGTTAAGTAACCAAGCCGACAAAACAGCCGGGTTAGACTATGAAAAGAGCAGACGAAGTGGGACTATCTCGGCCGTAAAGTCTTAGACAAGTAGCAGCAGCAACTAAGCCCACACACGGAGCAACCAGCGCGCATCACACTGCTTTCCTTAACTACAGGGGGTGAGACTAGCAATTGCGTATGAGACGTTACAAGTTAACCTTCTCGGTCGTTCGGCAATTGCTGAGACGAAAAAGAGTAAGACGACAGAAGCGAGAACGCCAAAACTTACATTCCGCCTATTCATGGTGCTTTATGTTTCTTGCGTACGTCCTCCTGAGACCTTCGTGAATCTACCCTCTTGAGGAATTTCAGTGATAGAATCCCAATTAGGAAGCGAAACCTTCACACGACTTCTGTGTTTCGTGGTAGGAAGACGGCTCACGAATCGCGGCCCAGCTAGCTCACACACAATAACAGCGAGGATCCGAGAGCTAGTGGCTGAATTGAGAAGGCGAACCAGCTACCTCACACTGAAACGAAACACCACGTAAAAGCTAGGTCGAAAGTGATAGCGCAACAGGAGCAGCACGCAACTAGGGATTTCCCAGGCATGATAATTCTGAATATAAGGTCGTGTTCTGCAGCTGGGGTGGGCAGCTAGAGACGATTTTGGCATTTAGTCAGAAATGCTGCTGACCAGAGTCGCGGGACATTTCCTATGGCGTATGCAAAACCCGTTACAAACATACATCCCTTCTGCTTAATGCGTAAACCGGTTTTTCACACCAAATTCAATTTGTGAACAGCAAGAGAAGCTCTCTATTATTAGAGATGTCACAAATACCACTCTAGCGAACCACAAATTGGAATACGATGAACCTGAAGATTTTAATGAAATAATTGCCACTGGTTGAGGTACGGTAGTACACATATTTGCTAGTTTCCATATAATAATAGTTGCGTCTTGAGACGGTATCATGTGCCATCCATGGCCATCTAGCTATTGGGCTGAGAAAAGCCATTAGGATCTTTCAAGGCTAAGACTTTGATAGAAATGTTGTATTGCGGAAGCGTTTAATGATAAGTTGTTGAACCACCTTGCACTAGTATGTGAGAGCAAGATAGATTGATTATAAAAAGGTAATACAAGCTTTTATAAGATTACAAGGAATATGAAAGGATGCAATAACCGTTTTGCTGTTGCTGTTGCGGTTCGATACAGTGATGACTCGGGCAACTGCTCAATATCGAGTCAGTTGTTTGTCCTTGCTGTCGCGCTGTATTTGTCGAGTCAAAGGTTGCTGACCTTTGACCTTCGCGTAACCTCCGGCTGTTACTTTTCTGTCAACCTCCTCGGTTGACTCGCCATTGCTTCGCTGTAGCTTGCCTCGTTTTATGGTTCGATGTTACGACACATAGGAAGCGTTAAGTTACTTGTTTCCAACACTCCCCTTCGCTTCCGGAGTGTCGTTGCTGGTGACGTGGCCTTGTCCAGTCAGCAACATGCAGTACTCGAATTTCTGCTTTCCGAGCTTCTTGGTCAAATAATCGGCTGCCATCTCGGACGTGGGGCAGTAGGATAGCTCGAGCCTCCCTTTCTCGATCTCGTCTTTCACGAAGAAGTATCGCAGAGCAATATGCTTCGTCCGGTTCGCGAACCCGTTCTTGTTTGCTATGCGAATTGCAGATTGGTTGTCGCAGAATAGAGAGAAGCTGGGTAACTGGGCCAGCTTCGCTTCTTCCAGCAGTTCGCGAAGGTATAGTCCTTCCTTGGTGGCTGAGCAGAGTGCAATGTATTCTGCTTCAGCTGAGGAGAGGGCGATTAGTTCCTGTTTGCTCGACTGCCACGAGATAGGTCCGATAGGCTCGAGTCGGTAGATGTAGTCGGTACGCGAACGCCTGTTGTCGGAGTCGCCGGCGTGGTCGACATCCACGTAGCCGATTAGCTTGGGCGTCGTGGTTTCGGTTTTTTAGTAGGTCAGGCCAGTTGTCGGGGTGCTGACGAGGTAGTGAAGAGCGTGGTCGAGCTCCGCCATGTGTTCTGCTTCAGGCTTCTTGAGGTAGGTAGCGAGTTGGCTCGCTGAGTATGATAGGTCCGGCCGGCAGGTGACGGCTGCGAAGAGCAGGCATCCCAGTTTTCGTTGATAATCGCGTACGCCGGCGGGTTTGAGCGGAGCTGTAGTTTCCTTGTGATTTCCGGCGGTGTAGCGGTAGGGTGTAGAGATAGCGGCTGGGGTAAGTCCGAAGCGCTTGGCGATGGTGTCGGCGTATTTCGCGGCGCTGAGGTAGATCGCGTTCTCTCCTTCCTGTATGTTGAGCCCGAGATACTGTGTTACAGTGGAGGAGACAGTGAGTGTGAGATCCCGCTGCAGCTCCCCTTCGAACCAGGTCGTGATGCCGTTGGTCGAGCCGATGTAGAGCAGATCGTCCACGTAGACGATGAGCAGGATGTAGTCGGTGCCTTTCGTGAGTCGGTACATGCCTTGGTCGTGCGGTAGTTGGCGGAATCCGATGCGGATTAGTCGGGCGTGTAGGTACTGTTGCCACAGCCTCGGAGCCTGCTTGATCCCGTACATGAATTTTTGCAGCTGACAGACTTGGTTAGGGTCTGCATTAGACCCATGTGGTTGTTCGACGAAGATTTCAGCATCGACAGGGGCGTAGAGGAAGGCGTTGGCGACGTCGATTTGGCGAAGCTTCTTCCGCTTCATAGCGGCTATCGCGAGGAGAATCCGCAGTGAGGTGTGTCGGCTAACTGGTGTTTCGGTGGAGTCTCGTCCGTGCTCTTGGTCGAAGCCGCGTACGACCCAGCGTGTTTTAAACTTGTCGATGGTTCCATCTGCCTTTGTTTTTACGCGAAAAACCCACTTCCGATGAGTATCATCTTGTTGCGTGCTACTCCGATTGGAACGACCTTCCAGGTGTTGCGTTCTTCCAGCGCTTTTAATTCTTTGTCCAAGGCTTCGCGCCATTTTTCCCTGTGCTCCCCCCCCAGAGCCTGCTGAAAAGTGGCAGGCTCTTTAGGTGGCTCTGCTCCGTGAACGGCGGTGACGAGTCCCAGCATCTGCAGCCCACTCTGTGTGTAGCGGGGGAAAGTTGCGTCCTCGGGATAAGCTGCTTCATCTCCCGCTTCTGGATCAGGTAAGAAATTGGGTCCTATGCGTTCGGAGACGTTGGTGTCGACCGGTTGGGATGTAACGTAACCGTTGTCGGCGAAGTCGTAGTATACTTCGGCGTTGACACTTTCGCGAGGGTTGTAGTCGTCCATGGGGATGTCCACGGAGCAGTACGGAAGAGGTCCGGCTTCCTCCAAAGCTCCGTCCACGTTCTGCTCGTCCCAGTCAGCTTCTTCTGCTGCCGAAGCGAAGGCTCGGTCCCCTCGAAATCCGCCCGTGACATCTCGTTCCGCTGCCAGGTTGTCCAGGTACGTCTGAAGTGTGAGTCGTTCGTATTGCGTGGACGTAAAAAATCTTCCATGCGTTGTAGTGTTTTTTTATGCCCAGGTGTAGTCCCCATTGTGCGCGTTGGGAAAATCGACCGGCGCGTGCAGCTGGGGGTCGGTACTGTACCATGCAGCCGAACACTCGTAACATTTTTGTGTTGCCCAATTTTCCTGTCCACAGCAGATGCGGTGATGCGTTGTTCGGGAGCGATGATGACGAGAGCAAGTTGTGCAGCATGACAGCGTGGTCCATCGCCTCGGGCCACTGGTGGTTGGGTAGTCGCATGCCACGTAGCATCTTGCGCATGGTGTTCTGGAGGGTCATGTTCATTCTTTCTGCCACGCCTTGCTGTTGATGAGCGTAGGGAAGGGAGATGAGTCGCTTGATGCCTCTCTCTGCCAAGTATTGCTTGAACCTCTGTGACTGATATTCCCCTCCTCCGTCTGACTGGAAGCTTTTTAGTTTCACTCCTGATTCTCGTTCTGCTACTGGAAGCCAGGCGACGAAGGCTTCGATGGCCATGTCGCGGCTCGGAAGGTTGAGGTGCCAGACGTAACGGGTGGCGGCGTCGATGAACGTGATGACGTAGTTGTATGCTCCTTGTCCATTTTCACGGTTGAACAGTATGTCGCTGTAGACCTTCTCCAGTGGTGCGTATGCTGGTGCGCTCGGGTTGTGGTGAGAGACGAACGGCTGATGCGGTAAGTCGGCTTCAGGGCAGGTAAAACACGTTCCACGTACTCGTTGAAGTTCTCTGCCGTCGTGCAGAAGCAGTGAGTCTTTATCAAGAACACCTGCTCTTATCGTGTTGTTTAACGTTGTGTTGCTCGGGTGTCCCATCCTTGCATGCCAGATGTCTTCGCTAGCGCGATGTCCGGGTGAACGTCTGTACAGGTCGGAGTTGGAGTAGAATCATGCGGTGAGATTTGCACTTCTGTGGACTTCCCGTGGAGTGGGAGTCAGCTGTTGCGCAGGAGTCGTTGGCGTGTCGTCGATGAAGGTCGGTGCTGTTGAAGGACCAGCGATTGGTGCCTGTGTTGTCTCTGCTGCTGCCGATGTTATTTCTGCTACTGCCGATGTTGTCTCTGCTGCTGCCGGTGTTGTCTCTGCTGCTGCCGGTGTTGTTTCTGCTGCTGCCGGTGTTGTCTCTGATGCTGCCGATGTTGTCTCTGCTGCTGCCGATGTTGTGTCTGCTGCTGCCGATGTTGTCTGGATTGTTGCTAATGCTCTCGTCCGTTCTGGTTCAGGTATGGTGTTCGAGTACCAGAAGCCGCCGGGACTGAAGTCGAGGTCGAGATCCGGTGGGTGTGTCCAGGAAGTGAAGTTGACGATTCCGTCACTGTCGGCGGTGCCTTGATCTGGAACAAAGTCGAGGACGAAGACATTATTCTTCAGTATGGCCTTTCCGATGTACAGTCCGCCTTTACCGTTGTAGTGTTTGAACTCCTGGGTGGTGCTGTCTGCTTCAAGATGGATTCCCTTCGCCATGAGTTGGCTGACGCTCAGTAAGTTGTAGCCGAGTCCTTCTGCAATTAAGACTTTTGACATTTGCAGGATAACGTTGGTTTCTCGCGACTGAAGCTGAACTACCCCTTGTCGTCGTGTGCGCAGGTTCTGATTGTTGGCGACGGTGATGACGACTTCGCGCTGCAGTTGGTGTTCCCGTTGAACGAAGCGACCCGAGGAGCACATGTGCTGTCCGCAGCAGCTGTCCAAGAACCAGGTGTCTTTCCCGGACGGTTCGCTCTGGGCGATGGCTGCGTACGTCGGATTGGGCTCCAGTGATTCGCGGCGAGGGATGCTTTCGTCGAGCTGTTCTTCTGGTGAGTAGTATGGTGGTGATCCGGTAATGCAGGAATCA